CATCCAAAACGCACTCAACAACCGTTCTACTCCCGTCGTCTCCCAGCCATTTGCGAAACCCAAGCGGTCGAGCGACACGGAGTATCCCGACGCGTCGGACTCGGTCCCCCCGACGAAGAAGCCGCGGCAGCTCCCTCCTGGGTGGGGGGACGATGATACCATGACGCGTGCCACTACCTTTAACTCTGGATCCCGCACTGCGAGGACAAAGTCCACGTACACCGCCCCGCCACCGAACGTGAAAGTGTCCGCCGTCTTTTTGAGCGGCGAGCAGACCCAGATCCTGAAGCTCGTCCAAGATGGCAAGAGCGTGTTCTACACGGGCAGTGCTGGTGAGTGTTCGCGCGTGTATGAATCGATGCGGTATTGACGATTTGGCAGGAACGGGAAAGTCTGTCCTTCTCCGTGAAATCATCAAGACGTTGAAGAAGAAGCATATCAAGTCTGAAGATGCGGTCGCAATCACCGCCTCTACTGGTGAGTTTATCCCTCCTTTGTGTTTCGCATTCATTTGACACGCCCGTAGGCATTGCGGCGTGTAATATCGGTGGCATCACCATCCACTCGTTCGCGGGGATAGGTCTGGGCATCGAGAGTGCCGAGGTGCTCGCTCAAAAGATTCGCAAGAACAAGAAGTCTAGCACCAGATGGCTGAGGACCAAAGTCTTGATCATTGATGAAGGTCAGTACTAATGTTTCGCTTCACTCGCGTCCTGACCCCAATACAGTGTCTATGCTCGACGGCGACCTATTTGACAAGCTGTCACGGATCGGGAGCATCCTGAGAAAGAACCCGAAGCCATTCGGTGGCATCCAGGTGTGCTTGCTCTCCATGCACCTCGAATACATCCTGACGTTTGTAGCTCATCGTCACCGGCGATTTCTTCCAGCTCCCGCCGGTGACAAAAGGCAGCATGGCCGTCAAGTTTGCTTTTGAAGCCGAGCTTTGGAGCGAGACGATCTCCCGGACGTTTAACCTCACAAAAGTCTTCCGACAGCACGACCAGGGTGCGTCTTTCTTCAAAGACGTATTTACATGTCTCATCTCTAGGGCAGAATTCGTGAACATGCTGAACGAGATGCGGTTCGGCTGCTTGACGCAAAAGTCCGTCGACAGGTTCCGCTCCCTGTCCCGGCCCATCGACTATGCGGACGGCCTTGGTCCGACGGAGTTGTAAGTTCTGTTCCGTTCCTCCCTGCTCCATGTTTTGCTGACCAAAAATAGGTTTCCCCGCCGCGAGGACGTCGACCGGTCCAACTCGGGGCGCATGAACCGCCTCACGACTGAGGTCAAGTCGTTCCGTGCGATAGACGGCGGCACGATGCCGGACCCCGTTCAGCGCGAGAAGACGCTCGCGAACTTCATGGCGGTGCAGACGCTGCACCTGCGCGTCGATGCTCAGGTACGCAGCGTGTCTTCTCTATTCACGGCGAAAGGAGGTCTCACGCCGCTTCAGGTCATGTTGATCAAGAACATGGATGACAACCTCGTCAACGGGAGCATGGGCCGCGTCGTGAGGTTCTGTGACCAACTCACGTACGGCACGGACCGCGATATCGAGGGGTCGTCCGGCGAGGTCCTGGGCGCGGCTGCTGGCCCGGCGAAGAAGCCCACGGGTGCTGCGGCCGGCGTGCAGTATCCCGTCGTCGAGTTCTCGCTCCCGAACGGCGGAAAACGCGCATTGCTGGTGCTGCCCGAGACGTTCAAGGTCGAGCAGCCGTCGGGCGAGATTACCGCGAGCAGGTCGCAGGTATACTTGTTCCGTCCGAGCGACGTCGTACCGCGTACTGAGAAATGCCGCAGCTCCCTTTGATCCTGGCGTGGGCGATGAGCATCCACAAGTCGCAGGGCCAGACGCTCGACCGCGTTAAAGTCGACCTGGGGCGGATCTTCGAGAAGGGTGCGTCGCTCTCAGATAACCTGTCCAGCGTCTGACGCTAACCCGATGTCCAGGTCAGGCGTACGTCGCCCTTTCGCGTGCGACGTCGCTCGACGGGTTGCAGGTGCTTAACTTTGATCAGACCAAAGTAAGTTGCGCTGTGTTTATTACTTCCTGCTGGATCTCAATGACGTTTTTTCTTCAAAGGTCCAGGCGCATCCGAAGGTTAAGGAGTGGAGCAAGACGCTGGAGACGGTGGAATAGGAGATGGGACCGCAAAGAAGTGGCTCATCCTCTCTCCCCCTTCCCTGCCCGTTGACTGATGTCGGCGATCTGATTGTAGGTCCAGACGCATCCGAAGGGGAAGCAAGATGGATGGCTACGCGCTACTGATGCATGCACACACATTGCTCATTTTCATTACACAGGCACACACACAGGTATTAGCAAAGCAAATGAATTAAGTTATTGTCGAGGCCAATCTGCCACCGCCTGAAATATCGACTTGTTACTTCGATCGTCTTTCCACCGACTTTGGGCTGCCGCTGGCATTCACCTAGCCTCCTGGCGTGGGACTGAGATCCAAATACGAGCAGCAAATGGGCGTCCGTCGCCATCAGTGCTTTCTTCAAACTTGTGTCGCTGTCTGTCCGGGTCAACTTTAGGCAGAACAATTATTTCTCGAGTCTCCCAGCCTCCAAGGACGTGCTGTGAGGGTTGAAGTATGCACCAGTATAATTGGTTTCGTTTCATTCGCTGCTGCACGCAGTGCCAGCGTTTCCTCGAACTTATCCTCCCTCGGTGGCGGTAAGTATCGTGAGTAGAATGTAAGCTCCGACAATCCAACATCGAGATTGAGCCCTAGAATGTCAGGCAGGAGATGACAAGCGGGATTTCGTTGTTGCCATGATCCGTTTTGCGGTAAAATGTAAGCTCTAATATAATAGTCCAACTTGTAGCGCTAGAATGTCAGGGCAGGATTTGGATTTCGTCAATGCCACGATCCGACGGTGAGCGCTGAGCTCTGAATCTGATTGCTTACAACGACGCTTAGTGTGTCTTACTCAGCCCCGATTGCTTGAATAAGCGTCGATTTCAGCTTTCATTTATATTTTACAATGAGCCCGACTTCACCGCGTCTCCCAGAAGAACCCTTTCCGAAATGCCGACCCACACCGCGATCGCCTCTACCGCCAAGGGCCAGTTCGACGCGATCCAGGCCGAGACGGAGACGCCTGGGGCGGGCCAAGTGCTCGTTAAAGTCGCATACGCGTCGATGATCGCGTTCGACACGTACATCACGGATGCAGCGTACATGGTCGAGGAGCACCCTGTTGTTTTGGGTTTCAACGCCGCCGGGACCGTGATGGAGGTGGGTGCGGGAGTTACCTCGCTCGCGGTTGGCGATCGGGTGGGTGCAGTTGTCTCCTCGTGTGCCAGGTTATTTGACTCAACATAGATTACTGGTTTCGCTGTATATGGCCAGGGGCGCAAGGACGGGCCGAAAGGGACGATGCAAGAGTTTGTTGTATTGCCACACGGGCAATGTGCCAAGGTGTGTGTACACGCGGTCAGGTGTCGGGAGACTCTCATATCTGCAGGTCCCCTGTAACGTCGCGCTCGATGGTGCAGCCACCATCCCCGACAACTTCATCACATCCTTCTACACCCTCTTCGACCGGCTTGGCCTGCCCATTCCGCCCAGCTTCCCCGCACCCACCCCGCCGCCGAACCACGCCACGCCGATCCTCGTATACGGCGCAGGCTCGACGGCCGGCCAGTTCGCGCTCCAGCTGCTCCGCGCCGCGGGGTACACCAACGTCGTGGCCACCGCGTCCCCGAAGCACCACGCGTTCCTGAAATCGCTCGGCGCGACGGGCGTGTTCGACTACAACAGCCCCACCCTCGCGACGGACATCGCACGCGCCGTCGGCGGCGACGGCAAGGTCGCGCTTGCGTTCGACTCGATCACGGCGCACGGCACCCTGGCGCGCATCGCACAGGTGCTCAGCCCGCGGGGCGCAGTCGCGCTGCTGCTGCCGATCAAGGAGGGCGACACCGTCGCCGTCGGGGACGCCGCGATGCACTTTGAGATCCCCGAAGGACGGAATCCGTTCCCGCCAGAGACCAAAATCGTGTACGTGCGGACGTTCTTGTACGGCCAGGTGCGTCGTTTTGTTTTTGTGGGCGGACGATATGGCTGATTCGGTTGTGTGTAGAACGAGCACCTAAGGGACAACCTGATGCCCAAGATTCTCCCGCAGCTGCTCGCGGCGGGGATCATCCAGCCGAATCGCGTGAGGCTTTTGGACCAGGGGACCTTGAAAGAGCGCGTTGCGACTGGGTTGGACCTGCTCAGGAATAACAAAGTTAGTGGGGAGAAGGTGGTTGTAAAGGTGGCTTGAATGCAATTTGGACCACAATGAAGTTTCTTCGACCATTCGTGTTATAATTAACTGTAAACTCCACAAATGCGATCCGTCTTGTGCAGAGCTACGGGTCGAACCAGACGCTTGTGATTTCGGTTCCAGTGCAATGGGACTCAACTTTGGGGGTGAGTCAGGTTAATAACTCGGATGGATGCTCGTCGACGCAATAAACTACACCGGTTCAAATCCGTGCCCTGTAATTTAAAGCACTCCGCGGGCGGCATGTATCCAGGCAGCTCGTGGCAAAACCACAGGCTCTGGAGCCCCAGGAACATCCGGCCCGAGCGCTGAATCACAGGTTGTTTCGGGGCCCGCCGACTGGTCGAAGAGCTAGCGGTTTGTGAGGGTAACTGCGGTGAAGACAGATGGGAGATCGTCTTCAGCAGCAGTCGGCGGACCATCAGGCGGACTTCGGTTGTGATGCTGAGACGTTGGAGGGATGTGTTGTAGGTGAGGCGGAATGGCGTTGTAGACTGAGGGTACTTAGTCAACTGGCATCCACAGAGTTGAAGGACTGATAGGGTAGAGAGGGTGGAATCGGTGGAACCAAATAGATTAAAGAATTCGAGGGCTCATTGCGTATAGGGCCTGCGTAGGTGTACCGTGGGGAAGAGGGCGATGCCGAAAATAAATTCTGGCCTAGGGCAAAAGATACCTATGATATATAATATACATTGGTGACTCTTCCATCGGCCTGATGGTCTAGTAGTATGATTCCTTGTTAGGGTTAATCACTGGACAGTGATTCACATTCGAGGAGGTCCCGGGTTCAATTCCCGGTTAGGCCCTGTTTTTGCATTTTCTTACTTTTAAGTATCTCAGACTAATTCCTCCATCCCTAACTTTTTTCTCGCACGACCGCCAACAAATAAACAAGTTCTGATTCCACGGGGTTCCAATATTGATGCAGATCAACTTTCGATCAATTCCCTTTTTCTCTCTTCAAATCTCCGACTTTTACTAATGTTGAGGGAAAGGTCCCACTTTCACTTCCCAAACGAAATCGAAAATGAAATTGAAATTGAAATCAAAAACCAAACCGAAATCGCGAAATCGATTTCAATTTCGAGAGCAAAATTGAAATTGAAACCAAAACCAAAGGCTGTTCTGGTAGAACGTGGCATTCAGGACAGTGCTCCAACTCATTTCCCTCGATTTCCACGTTGGTTTTTTCAGGCATGAAAATCTCCATTGTGACATGCAGTCTACGCTGATCCTGACATTCTCCTGCGCTCAGTTCCTTCAATTTCTTTACGAATTGACAGTTGCAATTTTTGCTACTATCTTTGAACCTGACAAGAGTCAGAAGACCCGTGTCCCTCCTGACATGGACATGCTTCACTGTGGGAAACATATTCAATCTTTGTATCTTTATCCTCGAGCGTTGCTGTTGGAGATCAGCAATCCAGCACAAGCCCGAGGGAAACCCTGAGGACGCTGACTGGCATGGAACTTGCCGGAACATACAGGAATATTAGGATTTAGTATAAATACAGTATCTATAGTAGCACTCATGAGCTTGTAGCCTATGGTCTAACGGCCAAGAGTGATATCTTATTAGGTTCACGAGATAAAACCAACAGTTGCCGAATCCACCATGTGTTAAATCGGTTGACACTGTAATGTCTTAATTTCACACCATGAGAGCAACAATGGTCTGGAGGCTCAAGCTGCTATTCGTACAAATTATTGTAAAGTACAGTGAAATCGAATTGAAAATCATGTATGGAATCAAAGGACATCAGACTCACTAGTACTCGGTTGCCTACCAACTAACAGGTCTACCCAACACCCATACTTGATATCAACTTCCTATCACTATGAAGTAGGTTCACTGGCATTCTCGATCAACTAGTATCTAAACACATTCCAGAATTGCAGCAATCCACGCCTGGTGGGACCTCAAAGCTGGAGTTGCAAAAACAATCTCATTGACCAAGGAAGCTGCACCCAACGGTGCCAAGCTCATTGGATTCCCTGAGTCTTTCATCCCAGGCTACCCGATGGCCATCTTGGTGCAACCCTGGAACCCTTTTTCTTCTGAAGTTCAAAGAGAACAATCTCTCTGTCCAATCAGCAGAATTCAAGGAGATCTTAGATGCTACGAAAGAAGCTGGTAAATGCTCTTTTCAATGGGGAAGTTTGCATCAAATAAGTTTAATAGGATAGTCCTCAGATTCTACAAACTGGCCGGGGAAAGCATGTATGCAGCTCAAGTCATTATAAACTCAGAGGGTGTGGTTGTTTTGCACCGCCAGAAAATCAAGGCAGGTTGTATTATTTTTGTTCTCTCAGCAGCTTTTAACAGGGAACAGCCGACAGGCCATGAGCGCACAGTTTGGGGGGATGGTGCTGGTTCATCATTTTGTCTATTTTCTCATTCCTCTGTTCACATCTTATCGGACGACTTGGTCCAAAGTGCAGTCAAAGGACCAGGAGGGGCTATGATCACTGCTTTTAACTGCTGGTATGTAGTGGATAATTTTCATTGACCTTTCTTCAATGAAAAGAGCATAGGGAACACCTTCAGCCGTTGCTGAGATTCCACCACTACAGTCCTAGGGTCTAAGTTCATGTTGCCAGCTGGCCCTACTGTGATTCCATTGAGGACGGCGCAACAGCTCAGTTCTCTTCCGATGCTCAGATTCTTCAGTCTGAATTTGTGGCGTTGGAAGGCCAGATGCTTGTGATTTCCAGCACCCAGATCCTCAGCAGTAAGAATACCGAGTTGTGCGGGTATGTATCAGCCTGACATCCCGATCTCATTAATCACATTATTTGCAGCGTCAAGGGTAGCTGCTTTGAAATTTCTGTAAGCCTGGATCTTGTCTGTGTATTTTTGCCTATTTTTCTGAGACAAATACAGCACGGAGGTGGCTTCGCAGCAATATATGCCCTGAATGGAGCTCAGATCACAGTGCCAACAAAACCGGACGAGGAGATTATTCTATATGCCGATATTGATTTGGACGCTATCAAGCTGGCCAAGCTTGTGGGGGATCCGGTTGGCCATTAGTGCGTCCCTTCAATCCTTTGGAAAATCAAAGTCAAATCTGACCTCTCACCCGGACCTTTTGTCATTGCATGTTAGTCGTCCCAATCTGCTTGTGTCGTATGATGGAAAGCAGGACTACACTTTTCTCAGTCACATTAGCCAGTAATCGTGAGGGTTTAAAATTCTCCGGAGGTGATATACATGAATGTTATTTTCTCCGTGTACTTGCCTTTTGCGGTCGAGAGCGGTTGTTTGGTGAGTCGTGGATTTCTAAACACAAAGCCTTGAATTGACGCCTCAGAGGAGAAGCGCAATCCAAGAAATGGCGCGGCCCGCCAGGGCTTGCCAGGTTGGATAATCTATAGTATCAGAGGACATCTCTGTACGAGTTTACAGTATTAAATTTGGTAGTACAGTGTCATCCCTTGAATAAAAGCAAATCTTTTTATAATAGTGTTCAGCTCCACCAATGAATCCATTCTGCCAAAAAAAAGAGAAAAAGAAAACCCCAGGGGGTATCAAGGGCCTCGCAATCGCAACTCGAGCAAGCAGCAGAGCATGGACAGCGTCATCGATATGTTCAACTCATACAAATTGGCGGGCGACGTCCTCTCCCAGGGTCGCCCGTATCCCTCGTGGCCACTGCCAGGTGGTGCGCGCGAGGGGTTGGGGCAGACTTTCCGTCCACCTCTGTGTCTGCCGTGGGGTACCGGGTATCGTAGAACTCCTGGAAGGTCCTGTAGACATAGTCTGGTAGCCCTGTCAAGATCGCCTCCTGCATGTGCATATGCCGGATCTCCGTCCACACCGTGTCTTCGTCCGTGAGCGTGGCTGTCTTGTCCTCAAACTTGCCCCCAGCGGCCCAGAACTTGTACCTGTATTTCATCCCGTCCTTGATGGGGAGCGCCATCGCCTGGTATGTGAACTCGTGCACAAACGGTGTGATCATGTCCATCGAGCGCTCGGTGATGAGCAGCGTCCCTTGGGGCCGCTATGCTGACAATTTCTAGCAATGCACTCAGCATTCCAAGGCCGAAAAGAGGTCACACACACCAGCATTGGGTTCCTCCCCTTGTACCCCTCGAGGATGTCATGCATGAAGAAAGCGAGGATCTTGGTCGCAAAGTCGCCCTCAACGGACTTGTACGCGCAAGCCCTGTTCTCCTCCCCGCTGGTGGGGGCGCAGGGTGCGTCGATGGGTGCGGCTTGAGCACGCTGAGCAGAGGATGGTTCGGGGGTGGTCCTCATCCAGCGTGATGCACACATTGGCGATCTGCGGTTCTGTTGTGGGGAGGTAGAAAAATAGAAAAATAAAGGGACACACAATTCTGGCGCTAAATCTGAGCTCCTGATCGAGCCGGTCCCGGGCGGCCTTGAACTGCGAGTCACTCTGCGGAGGGCTGTACAGTCCAAAAAAGAGCTCCGGTGCTCACATTGAGAAGGTCTGGTCCTCTGTGGCTGCGGTGGTTGGTTAGAGCTTCTCTCAGACCAAATGAGGACTGCGCGGACCCCAGAAATTCAGGCAGAGGTCCGCCTCAATTTCAGATACCCTGGCCTATTCGCCTCAGTTTTCCGAGTCGTTAACAGCTTCAACAGATCCCTTGATGCCCTTGCACAATTGTCAGCCACATACGACGATGCGAGAACCCTGCTTACTGTCAACGAAGAAGACATGCACTCTCGGGTAGGTTATTCTCATGATCATTGTCGACCCTCTTGACATTCTTGCTTGTCAGCATGAGCAGTGTTATATCCGTGCTTTGTCGGACCGGCCGGCCCGGCCGGTCCGGTCCGGCAATTCCCGAGAGGGTTTTCACGCTATGAAGGTCTACTGAGCGTTTCCCTTCTAATCACTGATTACTCATCGGGCCGACGGACTTGTATTTCTCCGAGGCCTTATTGTCTAGTCCGACTTCTTTCTCGGGCGTCCTTACCAAGCCCGAAGTCCTTTATTGTTTAACCTTACTAAGTCACCTTGCTACCTTATTGTTTAACGTTTCTTACTTACCAATATTTCGCACGCTATTGTTTCAATAGACAATAGCGTACTTAGTTTAAAAAGCTAGTTAGATATGTTTTGTACTTCAGTTTGATTATTGATTGTTTCTTCGCTATCTCGGCGTTGGTCGAGCCTCTGTCTTCATCCTCTATTCGGACTTCAACTCCGAACTCCGAACTCCGTGACTCCAGACTATAGTCTTGTGCGGAACTGCGGACCTGAATAGTCGCTCACTCTATTCCTTGTAGTGTTGCGAGAAACCGCGAACTCCGAGGTCGGACTTCCTCGGCCTTGGCCTGACTCGACATATAACAGTATAATCAAACTCACCTATTCGGTTCGCCATGTCTGGATCATACTTCAATCCCAATCTCTTCACACCGGGCAATACCGCCCCTAACCCTTTAATTCCGACACACCAACACCGAGAACGTCGGGAATCCCGACTATTTTCTAACATTCCTACTCTCGGTCAAACTCCGGTTCAACCACCTACCCTCGGCCAATCATCGGAACAACCCCCATCTCCTATTGTCTTTCATCCCATACCTCGTCTTCGTTCAGCATCAGTTCCAAATACCGCGCCAGTTCCGCTTCTCCGTCGGGGTACAACTCCGGTGACTCCATCTCCGATTGGAATCCCTCCGGCTCAGATGAGAGTGCCCTCGGTGGCCTCTATTCAGGAGGCTGATACCGAGGAGGCTCCAGCCCCGGAGCCCGAGGCGGAGAACTCCGAGCGCCCTCCGACTCGGAACACCGAACCCGAGGAACCTGTGGGAGGTGCCCCAGGTGGG